GGTAAAATGTAGTAAGCAGCTCTGAAGAGATGAAGCAGCTGATATTAATATATACACAGATGTGGAAGGTAAAAAAATCCATAGCAGTTATCATAATAAATGCTGATTTTACCCACTTTCTTTTGTTCAAAAATAATTTTTGTTATGAATACATGTATTTAAATATATTTGAACATAAAAATACATATATTATGAGAAATAAATTCATAACAAATGTCTTCTTTTTAGATATGGGTACCTTAACTGCATTCATGAAATCTTTGGACAGGGTTGTCAGTTTGTAATGTGCTGATGAGCATGTGTGAGTCCCACTGGCCCCTGTCATTTTCTCACTGTCACACAAAGCTGTTGAGGGTCACTATGTGTTGTAGCCTTCCCTTCCCAGTGAGCAGAGTGTATCCCTGCTGCCAGGGCTGTGATATGAGTGCTGTCACAGCCCCATCCTCTCCTTGTACCCTTTTGCACTGTGCCTCCAGTAAGTGTGATGAAAGGCATCTCTGCACCCAGGCAGGGATGCTGGGCCACTAGCTGTTCCTTTTACTGACTCTCAGATAAAACAGGTTTCCTGCCAAGAAAATTCACATTGGCTTCGCCTCTGCAAGGGGGTCTCTCCCCAAGTGGAAATTCATTATTTATTTCCTCCAAGAACAAGTGATTTCCTCATAAAGCTGACCTATTTCTGTAGATCATGCTCCAGTTTCCGCTGCTGTAGCTGTCTGTACAGTTGTGCTAATGTGCTGGATTTACATCAGTAAAGCCGCCACTCCTGTCACAGGTGGCAATTTGTACTGAATAATTGTAGCAGAGCTCGTGCACAAGAACCCATGTAAAGTGTATATTGTGCATATTTATTGTACATATGAAATATAGTGGGTTATAGGAAAATACATGCACTTTTGTGGTACTTTGAACAGTACTCAGGCATAAATGAGATTTTGTGTGCTGTACATACCCCTGTTCTATGTTACTTTGAGAATATTTGCTCATTATTATTTTATTCTTGTTTTTCTTATTAAATATTAACTGCAACGCAGCCTTATTATTTAAGACTACTACCTCCAGAGATTTACTGCACATTTCACACCTTTTTTTAATGTAATTTTAGTCTGATAATTTTTTGACTTGTTATAAATTTCTCAGTGTAGAATCACTGCACTAGGTTTACACCATAGTAACACATAACTCAGTGTGGAATGCTGATCTCACCTTTTGCCTGACAGTTAAATAGAGGAAAAAGAGGAGATTTGTGCTTATTTTGAAATGTGGACACACTAGCACAGTGTTTACCAACTATTATTATCTTGATGCAAATTTTCTCAGCCATGTTTTATCACTCTGAAATTTGGGTTCAAAAGGAAAAATATATGTTTTTAAAAATGCAGGTTGCTAGTGTTCACCTTTTTGGTGGCAAATCATTGATCTGCTTGAAATTCATTCTATCATGCAACCAGAACTGGAACTGGTTTGGACATAAAAAGCTGATGATGAGCACAGTGGTGGGGTTGCCATTGTGGCTTGCCATGGCTTCACACACCTTTAAAACACTTTGAATAACAGCTGAAAAGGTAATATGTGGCATGTCAAAATTTGCAAGCATGGAGGGTTGTTTCCCCTGAGGGTAAGTGTGCTTCATACTTATGGAGCAGGTGGAAAAAGCAATCTGTAAAAATTCATCCCATATTCCATCAGGAGCTCCTGGACTATGTGCGGTCATCTCTGAAGGACTGTGCTGGAGGGCTTCCCAACTCTACTGCCCCAAGGCTGTCTGTCAGAAAGATTTATCCCAGAGACACAAACACTAGAAGCTCTGGCTTCTTAGAAGTTGGGGCAGTCTGATTATCAAGGTTGAACAGATGCCATAGGCTCAGAAATTTGGGGGTTTTCTGAAAATTATTTTTATGAAGCAGTGAAGTCAGGGGAAGCCTGAAAATGATAATATGTGTAAGTGACTGATGATTGATTTTATTTTCTTTTTCTTTGTCCCCAGTCACACAATTATGGCTCTCTGTATCTATTTTCATGACATTATGGTAAATTCATTTTTTGTAGGGAATCTGACGGTGATTTGAACCTTCCAGAGTAGCCTTGACACTTTGAGAGTTAATGCCTTCTGTCTAATTTTGTAGAAGTCTTAAGTGTGATTCAGCTCTCATGGTTTAATCTAACTTTTTTTATTTACAATGTCCAAGTGTTTAGCTGTTTGCTATTTTCTGGACTAGAAAAAAAAATTAAAAACCAAAACAAAATAAAATATTTGAAAATTTATTTTTAAATTCTTCCTTTACAGGATCAGGAGACTCTTGTCTTGTCACGTGTTTTTATAATATTTCCTGCACGGTGCTTCTTTTTTCAAAACTCTCCTGCAGCTAACAGATTCAGAAAAGGAAACCTGCAAATCAACTCAAGTCCATTATTTAAAATAAATAAATGTAATCTTTAGCAAGACTTATTTTGGTGTGGACAAAGACTCTAGTCTTAGGTAGAGTGGATAAAAACACTTTTAAAATAGATAGTCATTAAACAAGACACTCTAGCATTCACATTAGCACAAACAGAAACAGTTAAATTAGAAATCAAATCAGAAAAAAAAAATTATCCCATTTAATTTGATTTTTCACTTCATATGTATTCATTTAAACTGTTTACAATAAATAAACTGATTCTGTTTCTGATCATTTATATAAAATTACATATATTGATGTTCACGCATATTCCACATTGAATTGTGGCTTTTATTGGTAGATCTGTCATTCCTGAAATTTATTGTATATAATTAATGAGTCTTCATCAAATAATGGAAGATAAATTCCATCTGAGTTTGAAAACAATCTATTCCTTGTAGAATATAAACAGTATCCATTTTATAAATAAATCTACATACTGTCAACACATTATTGACTAATCTCCTCAAGCCTGATGGGAAACCAGTCCTTTCTGCAGATACAGAATGACTGTAAAATGATAGGACTTTTAACAACATTATTCTCAGGGAGCTTAACTACTGCCCTGAAAAAATTTAAGTCATTTACTTCATGCAATACACCTTGGAAAGAGGGAAAATATTTATATGCAGCTTTTCTCCAAAAGTGTTTTCAAATCTCTCTTCTTTTCTCTGAAACCTCAAAGGTGGTGATGATTGCCATGGCACAGCCCTTAGAATGCATTTTATTTTCCTTGTGAACAACTCAGCTGAAAATCCTGTAACTCAGAGCAGGTCTTATTCATGATACATTAGGAACCCTTGAGAGCTCCCTCTTAAGGGATTTATCACATTTGTTTCCCTCACTGTCTCTGCTGCACATAGGAGTGATAACAAACACTGTTTGGATCTAATGCTACAATCTATATCTCTAAATATCACTGGCATCAAAGAATCAGACCATTATGATTTTCAAAGCCTCATTCACACAACTGAGAGACAAGTTCATTGTCTTCTTGATGTGACTATTAATATCCCCCCAGGGAGAGCTTATAGGTTCACAGAGGCGTTTTCTAGGGTTTGTTTGTTTGTTTGCTTTCCAGAGCCAACTTATTAGCTCTCAAAGATACTGTACATGATACTGGCACGATTTCTCAGAGCAGTAGTTGAGATGTTTTATTAGGTATTTCAGCTGAACATTTACTCTCTGAAACTGAGCTATCCAAAGAGGGCTTTTGGGACACTATCAATTCAGTCTAATGTATGAGCTCAAATTATTGTATCATTATAATATGCTGCTTGGTGTCTTTTGCCATTGATTTGCCTACATTTTTTAAATTGCTCAATCAGAAGCCATTTATCTGATAAATTATTAATGAATAAATGTTTGTGATGGAAAAACAAAATACTCAGCATTGCAAATCATGTATCCTACAGGCAACAACAGTCAGAAGTAAACTGCTCTTGAGCCAAGTAAGTGGTTTATGTAATGTGGATGGAAATTATATGTTGAAATAAACACTTCATTGCAAAGAAAGGATGGCTACTATTCTCCTAGACTTTTACAAGACTCTTGTGCATTTATATGTTCTTTCATAGGTACAAAATTTAGTTTCAAGTGTGCAAAGGCATCTGCAATTTTCAGACTCCAACCATACTGCAAAGTTGCTCAGACTGGTTGTTCTTTGCAATATTTTTGTAGAAACCTTTTGATTTAATGTTGATCCTCTACTCACAAGTATTTTTTTCCAGCTAACAAAATAATTGCAGAGTTAATGTCTTTTGGCAGGTCACATTGACATTGATGATTTTGAGGGCTTAACTGTATTCCAAATTCCTTGAGACTTGATTTACTTTGAATGAAAGTAGATACGTTCATGCCCGAAGCTAGAAATTGTAGTACAGGGTTTGCAATTAAATACCATATTCACATTTGTCTCTGTGACCTACGTCTTCAATATGGAGGCATAGTCAGATTATTAAAAAAACCTCAAAAAACCACAGAAAATCAAAAAAAAAGACAGGATCGTCTAAACAATTCTCACTAAATGCTGTTACCATTTTCTCCAGATGTGTTTTGCATTGTCCTCAGTGTAAAAGTAGTTTTTCCAATGATTTACAAAATGGCTACAAAATACATTTCTGGTCAATGTCAAGGGTGAAATGTAGCAGAGTAGCAGTAGAACGAACAATATATTACCTCTCTCCAGTAAATATCTAACATTCCTTTTCTTGTAACTCACTTAAAGTAAGTGTAATTAGCCATTTTCAGTCATTAGGTATGACTTTTGTTTGGGACTCAGTATTATGAAATGCATTTGTTGCAATTTTCCTTCCCCCTTTCCCTTCCCTTCTAACCTGTGCTCCAGATTCCAGGCTGCCAATGTTTACAAGACACTGACACAGTACTTCCAGAAACATGACCTGGCATGCACTACCTCTGGGGCCCTACTGCAAAAAATTTCTTTTCATTCATCCTCAGGGAAACTGAGGGTTTGGGTTATTTCATTTCTTTGCTTTATTGGGTGGTTTTGATTTTTTTTTTATTTTCAAATATGCAGCGTCTTCTCTTTTTGTACAGGCTCAGCAAGTTGTACACCATTTCGGCAGAGATGCCTGATCTTTCCATCTGCATACCTGGAGGTGCTTTATTCCCTGAATGGTCTTTTCAGTAACCACTAAAGACTTCTTGGGACTGAACACTGGAACAGATGAGTTAAATCCTTCTGGAATGTTCTTCATCAGACACAGACGTACGGGACTTTCTGGATGTGCCTAAGGACACAAAGGTCAGTGTCTTCCCTAAAAGCCTCAGGTTTCAGGACTGTTTCATTCCATCTTTAGCACCAGGGACTATGTTTCAATTTGTTGCTTGAACAGGGACACAGATGAGTAAAATGGTGATTAACACAACATTTATATAGATGTGATCATTCTTTTAACTGCCTCATTATAAATCTGCTTAGTGAGGTCAGGCAACCTAAAGGCTTCTAAATGACTAGGTGGCCACCAAGAGAAAGCTGTGCCTATGCTCTGAGCTCGATTGCCATTAATCATTTTGTGGAATTTCTTCTAGACTTGTGTTTAGAGCATTTCAACCACTCTCACTTGATTTACAACCTGTAAAAAGGGGACAATATTCTATTTTGTTCATGAGATGATTCTTTACAGTCAGTGGGGGTCAGAGTGTTTGTTAACTGTGTGCTTGATTGCTCTAGATGGCATGGAGGCTTTAGGGGAATGCCAAAGACATTCATAGCATGTTGGAAAAAATTAATTTCTTATTAATGGCAGCTATTCATATTCCAGAAACTGTGTGATTTTGATAATATGCTTCATCTACCCTTTGATTTCTCCTAAAATATTATTTAATCTGCTGATATTATTCTGACACTACTTTGCCATCTCAGGAAATCAACCTTGACCAGAACAATTCACTGACATAATTTTTCTATGGTATGATTGAAAACATAGAAGAAATAATTTTGTAAGCAGATACATGCTCAGAAAGGTGGTAGAATGTGTGTGGGCATATGTGCTCATCAAGTCATGTCTCAGACACATAACTGACAAGGAAAGTAGCAGGATCATAAAGATACATCAGGATTTTCAGCACTAATCATAACACTATAAAAACCACTATGTTTATAATGATGTGGATCATGCTATGAGCAGTAGAGAAGAAAAGTGAACAATCCTAACCTTGATTTTATTCTATGATTGCCATCTGTTTTTCATTTTTTGCAGAATATTCTTCAGGATTCATGCTCTGTCTGGGTTTGGGGGAAGAGGGGGAAAAGTTCTTTTCAGTTTCATTCAGTCAACTTCATCTTATTTCATAGGGACATTGAAAAAAAACCCTGGTTTTACAGATACTACTTTTTCTTATTAAGCATCTCCTATTAAGTCCATTAAAATCTATTAAAATAATTTCAGGAAACCTATTGGCTAAAGCGGACAGAACTCAAACTTGATGTAATTAAACTATATAAATTGAGTTCTGCTTTTTCTTTTTTGTGGAGGGTTTCTAGTGCTATCATCTGAATAATAGCTTTCTAATCAGCCTACTTCTATCTGCTACCCTAGCTACCATTTGAGTTTGTATTCTAAACACCAACTCCCCGTATAAAATAAACAAAAGATAAAAATATCATCCCTCATCAAAAAGAAGTTTGCCCATTGGCACCAAATATCTACTGCAGATAGGAGGAGAAACAAAACAAACAAAAAAAACAATACAGTTTTATTTTATCTAAGTTCTATTGAAGTTACAGAGAATCTTTGTAACAGACTTCAGTAGGAACAAGAAGATGAGTATAAAAATACAGACTCCATTTAAAAGAAGAAGGTTAGAGGGGTTGCAAGATTGTACAAAGTTTGCTGTGTGGAGGAGAGCTGTGTTAGTTTTGTGAGGTGCCCTCAATGTGATGCCTAAATATTTTCCAAGAAAGTCAAATTGATATAAGAACATATGTTGTAACTTTAATATGTGGACTTTTTAAGTAATATTACATCGTTTATACCTGTGTGTGTGTGTATACTGTGAGGTTAATGAATATCTCAGTTGCGGAGTTAAAATGCCAAATGTGTTGTAAACTCCATCTTCCTGCATTGTATGTTTGTGCCTGGGATGTTTGTGTAATCGGTCTGTATGTGACTGATAAATAAACATAAAGGATAGGATTATGGGTTTGGCTAGCTCAGCATAGTTGTTGATAGAACCTTGCTGTTTTAGGACAGATAATGCTGGAAGATAGGATCGTGGAATGGTTTAGGATGGCAGGGATCTTGTAGGTCATCAGTTACAACCCCCCTGCCATGGGCCAGGACACCTTCCAGTAGACCAGGCTGCCAAAGCCTCATCCAGCCTGGCCTTGAATATATCCAGGGTATCCACAACTTCTCTGGGACACCTCTGCCACTACTTCACCACTGTGAATAAAGAATTTCTTCCCAACATTTAATCTAAACCTACTCTCTTTCAGGTTAAAGCCATTGCCCCTTGTCCTGTCACTATTTGCCAATATAAAAAGTCCCTCATCCTCCTTGTTATAAACCCTCTTAAGGTACTGGAAAGCTGCTATAAGGTCTCCCAGAAGCCTTCTATTCTCCAGGCTGAACAACACAAGTTCTCTTATCCTGTCTTCATAGGGGAAGTGCTCCATCCCTGTAATCACCTTAGTGGCTCTCCTCTGGAGCTGCTCCAGGAGGTCCATATGTTTCTTATGCTGAGGACTCTGGACCTGGATGCAGCACTCAGGTGGGGCCTTACAAGGGCAGAGCTGAGGAGGAGAACCACCTCCCTCAACCTGCTGCTGACCTTTGTCTTTTGAAGCAGTCACAAGATATGGTTGGCCTTCTGGGCAATGAGAGAATAGTGTTGGCTCATGTCCAGTTTTTCCTCCATGAGAAACCCCAAGTCCTTCTCCACAGGGCTGCTCTCAATGAGTTTGTCTCCCAGTACTCATACCCAGAACTTGCACTTGGACTTGTACTTCGTGAGATTAAGTATCCTCCATATCTTTCACTTTGCTTACAGTATTGCTACTAAAGCATACATTCATTAATACCAATATTTGGTATTTTGGATATAAATTTGGATGTAAACTGGTGTAAAAAAATTTGCTTTATTTTTCATTTTTGTGGATTTCATGGCTGATGCCACAAAAAATGTTGCAAACATTATTTGATAGATTGGAGAACAAATTGTCTTTGACAGGTAATAGACATGTTTGTTTAAACAGTGCAAATCAAAATGAATAAGCTAAATTATCTGACTGACTGTAAAACTGGTGGAGTTCCACCTGTCCAAATTTTCCATGGTTAATTTTTGTTACTGGTTGAATTTTATCAAAGATGTGCAACTAGATTTATACACAAGGCCTGCAAAAGCTTAGGTAGCAAAAGTATGAAATTACCCTGATTTAAGTGAATAAATGATGGTTATACTGAATTGAGTACCTATAATGTGCATTTGGGGGGGGGGGGGGGGGGTAGGAAAGGCTTGTGAACTGGGAACATTTGGCATAACCTGAGATTTAAAACTGATCCTTGAGATTTTGTGCTAAGCCTACAGCATACAGACTGTATCCTGGAGGCTACAACTTTCTCCCAGAGGTTGGGAGGAGAGTCCCCTGACACATGAAACACTGAATTCTGCCCTTCCATGTCCTAGGAGGTTGAATTAATGTGTGGAAACAAAAATGTCTTCTGTCAAATATATTTTGTGACAAAAAACCCCAGAAGTGATCTATCCACCGTTTCAGAAGTAGGTCAGAGCTGTGAATCCTAATCTAAAGCAACAAGACTGAAACTCAGCATAAGGTCCCTTAAGATCCAGAAAAACAGGTTGTGTTTAAGATATGTCTGGACCCTTGTCATCACCTTTGCCTGTCTCGTTGGTCCTCCTGAGAACCACCTTTCACACGAGAGTGACCTCATCTTCCTCTCAGCCAGTGCTTCTTATCAGAAAGCATAAAGCTACATACAAACAATGTAACAGCAAAACAAGGCTTGGGAATGAGCTTGATCCCTGGCTCCTGCTCATCCATCCAATCTATTCACTTGTTTCCTTGGTTTTGCCCCACAGTCCCATGAAATGCTCAGTAGATTTCAGGGAGCAGGCAGGGAAGGGACAGTTTCCAAGAAGCAGCTGAGAATACAGGCACCTTTTTTTTGCAGTAGAGAGACAGGGTCACCCAAACTATGGGCAAGAGAATTAGTCCTGGTTTGTTCAACTTAGAAACACACATCCTGCCAAGTGTTGCAAAGCCCAGATCCCCACTGCCTCCGGTGGGAGCACAGACATCTTTTATCGTGAATGTTTTCACTGGTCACCACTTAAAGGACAGAGAATTTGAGGAGAATAAGCTGAGACACCTCCTCTTCCATTTTGAACTCTTAAAGAGGATGTAATGAAAAGTATTTGCAGTATGTATTGCTTTCTCACAGTAGAAAGCAATTGCTCAAACAACTACAGTGGCCTCTAATCCTTATCCCCAGGGCCTTTTTCTTTTTTTTTTTTTTCCTTTCATGTCATTTCTGGCTTTAATGAAATGACATGAATGAAGATATGTTTACTGTGCTACTCTTGTGGCAGAAACTTATCCCCTGTGTCTTCTTGTAAACTCATGGTCTTTTGCTCTCTTTTGTATATAGTCTTTTCTGGAAACTTTCAATATGATTTTACCTTAGTAGCATGTTAGACATCACATCTATTAGCTGATTCTGATATCTGTCATGCAACTTCCTCCCATGTAAATTAAAAAACTTCTAAACATAGATTTTTTTCCAGTAAAAAAATGAGAGAGATATGATAATAAGCTTTAACAATATAACAATTAAATAATTAAAGCATAAACCCATAAATTCTAGACACTTTGTCTCTTCTATTAAAAATGTGAATATCAAACATTTTTTACAAGAGGTAGCAAAGGGTTTATGGCTTTCCCTCTCTCAATAATTTAATTCATGTAAGATTTAAAAAATATTTGACTTAAGAAAATGTGGGCATTTTTACTTACTTGGAAAAAAGGCATTTTAAACAGCAGGATGTAATTTCAGACTATTTGCAGTCAAGAGGCCTCTGCTGAGCAAAATACTCATTCAATTTAGGAATGCAGATTATAATAATTTTCCTATCTCCCTCACAGCAGGATTCCTGCCATCGTTTTGCAAACCCACAGGTTGCAGTATTGAATGACTAGCTAACTTCAGTTTCAGGTAACACACGCTTTAAATGTGTTCTCATTAGCTCAACTTAGTTATAATGCAAAGCTGCTTAGTTTCA